AGGAAGGGAGGAAGGAAGGAAGGAAGGAAGGAAGGAAGGAAGGAAGGAAGGAAGGAAGGAAGGAAGGAAGGAAGGAAGGAAGGAAGATGGACAAAAAGCAGTAGATTCAAAATATTGTTCTCAGAACACTGTTCCCCGATTAGGATTCCTGAGCTAAGTAATTTATATGATAATTTTATGTTTCTTCCTCTAAATATAGTGATAATGATATTTTAAAACACAGCTTTTGGGTCTGGTGAATATTAACATAATAAGAGCGGTCATAAGTTATTTGATGTGACTACAGAAAATGCTTGACCAGTAGCTACATCCAGAACATCTCTCTCTTTTTTTCTAACTCTGGGCCCACTCCCTACTGGTCCCCACTTTCCAAAAGCACAGACCCTAACAGCAGCCATTCAGTGAGTGTTACTACAGCCCCAGCACGGCAGGAGGAAGGATATTCAGCTCTTTCCTAGGTTGTTATTATCATAAACCAAGCCCAGACCTGGTTTCCTGTACAACACATAGCACACATGAGAACAATTGACACCTCATGTAATTTCTTTGAGAAAAAGTAAGACTTTGAAAAGTACATGTGAGTCTGAATGTCTATGCTCCCATGTAGATATTAAATGATCTTTGTTAATATTTTGTTGATTAAATAATAATCCAATCAGCATTATCGTGGTTTTTATCTTCTCCAATAAAATTAACTTGAGACAACCTTGGAATCAGGCAAGCATGCGGAGATTCCAAGTGCTAAAGATTTTACATCCCAGAAGAAAAGGAAGACTGAAAACCTAAATGAATAGCAAAGAGCAAGATTATCAGAGAGTAAGAACCCAAACAAACATGTCTGCAAGCCGTATGCATGCCTCCTAGTCCTGTGAGTGAAGTAACACAATATCTTAGCTTTGATTTCCTGTGTGTGAACATTATGTAGGTGAAGGCTGGGTAGGGAAGTAAGTGGACTAGCACTTATAGTGTCTCTTAACTTATAGTTACTCTGTTAAATATTGTTTAGCTCACTTTTGCTGCTCGTTCATAATTAGTAACCAAGGAGAATTTATATATTTATAAGTTTATAATTTATAATACATCTATAAATATAATCTTAGTGCCTTGTAAGCAAATTTGTTACATTTTTATGTGATCTTTCCCAATTTTTATTTCAAAACCTGTAAAATTCTATGTATGACTGATATTTTAATAATTAACCTTTTAAATAATTTAAGTGATGCATTTTCAAGTTTGCTTTTTTTGTGAAAATATGCTTTTCCAGGTAGAATAAGGTCTTTCTTTAAACTGTAAAATGTAATTTTCGTACCAGAAAAGGGAAATGTAGGCATAGAGATTGATCGATATGGAGACAGCTGTGTTGGCAAGCCAGGAAATACCAACAAGTGTTGGCCATTGACTTGACTTAGCGGAGAGAAGTGAACAGATTCTCCTTCAGGCCTTCCAGGGACATGAGCCCCATCAAAGCTTTGTTTTTGAATTGGGAGAGAGTTCATTTCTGCTTTAAATCCTGCATCACAGTATGTGGATCTTTATATAATGGACTTAGAAAACACACCCACACACACACCTATATTTAATTTTCTTTCCATTCTTTTACTTGTGAGTATTTTGTTGTTGGGAAATGCAAGAATAGGAGGTAACTAGTTTAACTTGCATTGGAATGGTGAAATCTAACTGACAGCGAAGTTTTCATATTAGAATTTATCTGTGAAGTATGGAATACAAAATTTGAATTGATTTGGATTTTAGTTATATTAAGTTTTTAGTGTGTTTAAATGTTGTTTAATTTAGAAAATTGTACCCAAATTTTTGATCAAATAAGTGTGAAAAAACAGTTATATAAGTTTTTATATATATACCAAACTTTGTTAGTGAAAACAGAAAAATCATAGTATATTGAGGTAAAGGAAGACATATAAACTATTTAGCTCATGTGAGCCCTTTAGCCTAAAAAGGCAGAAGGGTATGTTGTTAAGGAGCATTTTAAGAGGGTTTTTTAAAACCTAAAAGGGAAAATGGGAGACTGAATATATTAGGAGCTAGCTGAAGGTCATTTTAACTGTACTAATTTAGAAATACAGGAGAAAAAAAGATTTTCTATCTCTTAATGAGACAAAATATATGCATAGGGATGTGGTTAGATATGGCCAGAGATTCTGTTTGGACACCTTCTTAATTAGTTCAATAAAAATGAAGTTTCAAGAATGAGATTAATTCAACAAATCAATTGATAACAACTGATTAATTGATGTCAGTTATCATTTATAAAGCAGTTTGAACATGGAACATGTTATGAGTATTAAGTAGTATTATTAAGATTATAATGAAGAGGATACAGATGAAAAATCTACCATGGGTACCATTTTAAAAATAGGGTTTGTAATAAGGACATAGTGAATGATGACATGGCATTCAGGAAGCAATATCAAGCTATTTTAATTTTCTTTCTTGCTTTTTACAGACACATATAGACACATGCATATTCACATAAACAAACATTCATTTAAGGTGGTATCTTTTTAACTCTGTTTTTGCCTCAAATTCATTCTCTGTTTAGCATAAAATATGACATTTTGTATAAATTTTGAAAATATGAAAAATTTAATAAGTTAGTTGTTTTTTTTTTTTAAGAATCTAAGAGGAAGAACGTCTCTGGGATGTCTGTGATGGAATTTCCAGAGAGGTTCAGATCACCTGGCTCCTGACCTAACGAATGGACTAACCTCTTGATGGGTTCATGGTAAGACAGCAGTACTGGGAGATGGAGACAGGTGGGACAAGGGGTGTAGTTGGGATAAATAGGTTAAATGAGGACATGTATTTGTGCCTATCCATTGCCCTGGACCTTTGCTGTATTTATCCTCCTTACTGCTCTTCCTCACCCCTATTCTCCTGACTTTCAGAGTATGCCACAGTTACTCACTGCCAGAAGGACTGATGCTTCCTTAACTATGAGCAAAATTAATGTTCCCTTATTTAAACTGTCTTCTTAGGTATTTGCTCTGGTCAATGGGAAAAAAAGAACTAATATAGCCATCAATATGTTTTTTGAATTTGTATGGTCACCTCTTTTTCATTATGTCATGTATGTAGAATCAAATAATGTGTAGCCGAATAGTTAATAGCAGTAGTCCTTATAAAAATCAAATAAATGCTGAATATGATCTGGATTTAGGTTAATTGTGAAAGTAGAGTAATGAAACTTTATTGACTCGGATAAAACATTTAAGAGAAAAATAAAACAACTAAAAACTGAAAATCTCAGTTTAAAAACCCATCCTGGCAGTGGTGGTGCACACCTTTCATCCCAGCACTCAGGAGGCAGAGGCAGGCAGATCTCTGAGTTCAAGACCAGCCTGGTCTACAGATATAGTTCCTGTGTAACCAGGGCTATCAGAGAAAACTTGTCTTGAAAAAACTAAAACAAACAAACAAAACCTAATATATGTGATATTATGACTGGTGATTCCATCATGATAGTAATATCTTCATTAAAGTAATCTGTACTCTTCCTTAAGAAATCATATTTTCATTGAATATAACAGTAAGTATATAAAGATAATATATAAAGACAATAATCTGGGAGCCACCGGAGAATGCGTGTTTAAATTGTAGTCATATTTATAGGAAGAACCAGCTTACAGTTCTAGAGTGCTTACCGTGCAGAACCACTGTAAACATGTTGAGTTCCTTGAATTCTTGAATAAAGTTCAATTTCTACTTCAATACATAAGAAACTAGAGGTCTCCATTCTGTCTTAACAAACCGTGAAAAAAGTCACAATGAAAAGTGCTGATACTACAAAAACATACAGAAAGTTAAATAATAAAATGCTTAGTTACATTCACAAAAATAAGAGAGGGAAAATGAAATAAAAGAAATCAAGTAGAAAATAGTAAGAAAAAAAGAAAAAAAAGTATTTCTATTTAATCCAGTTATAGCAATAATCGAATTTGCTATCGATTATTAATTCAAGGACAAATAGATTGCCAGAGAGCATCCAAAGTGTGACATAAATAATTCCTCTTTAACTCATATGAAGAGCATTTCCTTCATTAAGACAGATACACAGTAAATGCATGCATATCCTTCGCTAAGGCTTACCAAAGCAAATGAGGGAGGGCTGTAGTGGTTTACAGATGTAGAGGCTGGAGAGTGACATCAGCTCCGGTGGTACAGCAGCTCGTGGCCCTTTGATATATTTCTGCTAAAATTTGGGAAAAGGTCTTTTGCTGTAATTGTCTTATTTCCTTCCTCTCATCATCTCTCCCACTTTTTTAAAAAAAATTCTCTCCTAATGTGTTTTTTCTTTTAATGTAGAAATAAACAATGTAAAAACAAACAAATACATACATACATACATATATACATACATACATACATACATACCCTACGGGTCATTCAATAGTTATTACTAATTATCAACGACAAATGTATTTCTAAGAAAACTGATCATCAGCAAACAAGGAACTATATCTTCCTGAAAACAGGAAGCATGGAATATGTTCTAATCTTTACTCAGTGACTGAAAAAGTGAAGACAGAAAATAATCTTTTTATTTTTTGTTTCCAATATATCCCAACCACAGTTTTCCCTCTTTCCCCTGTTCCCAACCCCACCCACCAACCCCTAGGTTCACCCCTCCTCCTCCATTTCTCTTCAGAATAGAAAGGGCCTCACAAGGATATTTACTGAACGTGATATAACAAGATAAAATAAGACTAAGCACAAACCCTCATATTAAGGAAGGGTGAGGCAACTCAGTAGGAAGAAAAGGGGTCCCAAGATCACAGAAAAGAGTCAGAGACACCCTTGCTCCCATTGTTAGGAGTCCCACAAAACACCAAGCAAAGAAATACAACACGTATGCAGAGGATCCAGCATAGATCCTTGCAGAGTCTGTGATTATTGCCTCAGTCTCTGTGAGGACCATTGAGCCCTGCTTATTTGATGTCTGTGGGTTATGTCCTCCTGAGATCTTGACCCCTCAGACTCTACAGTTCTTCCTCCCTCTCTTTTGTGGAGTTTGCTCTAAGGGCAGGGACCCTATGGAGATCTGCAATTTGGGCTTTCTCTCTACCTAATGTTTGCTTGTGGGTATCTGCCTCTGCTCCCATCAGATGCCAGGGAAAACCTCTCTGATGATGATTGGGCTAGGCAACAGTTTATAATTACGTAAGAAAATCATTAGGAAACATTGTATTGGTTTTTTTGTTTGTTTGTTTGTTTGTTTGTTTGCTTGTTTGTTTTCTATCATCAGTCTCTGGGCTATCCAGTCTATCTCTGGTTCCCAGACATAAAGGATTTCAGCATGGGCTGCCTCTAGTAACTCATGCCTCAAATTAGACCAGTCATTGGTTGGCCACTGCCACAAGTTCTGCACCTCCATTGTCCCAGCACATCTTGAAGGTGGATAGACCATAGGTTGAAGGTTCTGGGGCTGTACTGGTGTCTCAGTTCCACTAATGGAAGCCTTGCTTGGTTACAGAGGATGGGCAGTTCAGTCTCCAAGTGCTCCATTACAAGGGGTTCTCTCTAGCTAGGGTCACCTTCATAGAATCTTGGGAGTTTCGACACCACTAGGTTTCCATATCAATCACCCCCAGATGTCCTCCAGTTCCAGTCTTCTCTTCCTGTACTCTATGCCACCATTCCTCCACATCACATGATCTCCCCGCTTCCCGTTCCCACCTGACCCTAGTCCACTACCAAAGTCTATTCTATGTCTTTTCTGGAAGTTGTCTCCTCAGTCAATGTGTTCAAGGCTATTCCCCACTTCCTCTTCTATTCAGATTCAATGTATCTGGTTGTGTAGTGAGCTTTTTGATGCTTTGGACTTGAGTTTTGTGGTGATAAGCCAGAAAGACACAAAAGAAAAAAGAAAGCATCTTCAACAAATGGTGCTGGCTTAACTCAATACCTGTAGGTAGGAGAATACAAATAGATCCAAATGTATCACCCTGCATGAAAATAATCTTTAGGAAAACCTCAGTAATATATCTTCCTTTTGAATTTTTATAAATTGACTACCTGAAATAATTCAAAAATATTTATTAATAAAAATGTTACTAAATAGTCTAGATTACCAATCTTAAGAAATAAAGTAGAATTTTTTTGCTTATACGTGTTCCTTATAATAAGTAATATGCATCTGATTTAATTAGATGTGAAATTTGAATTTTTATGTGGCCATGTCTTATTTACGTCTATTATTTTGTTGATAATTTAAATTACCGACTCTCCTTTTGATGAGCAAGTTTAAATTGTTCCATGTATTTGATGAACTTTAGGTAGCAAAGAGATTCTAGAATATGTAAATTGAAATAAAAATTTTAAATTCTTAATTATTTCTTTAAATATATTAATGCTTAAATCTACTTATAAAAAGTCAATTATAAACATACTTAAATTTTTTCAAATTTGTCACTGGTTGTCAAATTTGAAGAATTTTTAACATCTTGAAAGGTCTGAAGATTATGTGAATGTCTATACAATCCTGATTTTATATATTTCTTCATTTTTCTAAATGTGTGTATATGTGTATTAGCAGAAGTGATTCAAATTTATAGTAAATTTGCTATCTCTTTAATGCAATCTTCATTTAAATTTAATATTTAATAATGTTCAACGGGTCCTTATAAAATATATAGTTGTAGTCTAATATCTTTTCTGATTATTTTAGTCTTTTGTTTATTTAATTAAAATATAATTACATGATTCCTGCCCTCTCTTCCCTCAAATCCTGATCCATTTTAAACTTTATATACATATATAAACTTTATATACTAGTATACATAAATACACATTGCTGAGTCTCTTTATTCATTCTTGAATATATATGTTCTTAGGGGTTACCACTACTATTGGGTCAGCATTTAGGAGGCTCATCCCTTGGAAAGGCTACTTTTCCTTCACTCAGCATTAGTTAGTGCTTTTATCTAGGAGTGGGGACTCATGAAATTAACAAATCATGATGGTTTGTCAACTGGTATTGTCATTTCCAGGTCTTGTTTCCACACTAGGTATCTTTCTTGAACCCAGAGTTCCTATCTACCTGCTTGATTGTCAATTATATTTGGAAAATTTCTCTCCAAAGTAATTTTCATTTTGCCAATCATGGTTTAGACAAACTTCAGAGAGACAATAAGTCTGTATCAGACATTTATGCCTTCACAGTCCAACTGTTCATCTCATACAACTTACTCAAACCCATAGGAACTCCCATAGAGGGTTGTAGATTTCTAAACAATCTTATTAAATAACAAACACAGAGCCAAATACAGAGGTAACAGCCAAAGAGATCTGAGTGAATAGCCATGACTAGCCTTAGCTTACCACCACGCAGTAGCTTCCACAGGGATAGAGCTTTTTCATGTCTAACCTGTGTTTTTACTGCTTTCCTGATCTGCCTTCACATTGGCTCTAAGCCCAGCCATTTTACTTCCTTGTCACTGCCTGTCTATACAGACCTCCAGGTCTCTATGGTTGGTACTGGGATTAAAGGCACTTGTCACCACATTTGGCTGAGTCCTTGACCACACAGAGACTCTGCCTGCCATGTGGTCAGATTAAGGGCATGGGCTACTACTGCCTGACTTCTGCATATGGCTTGCTTTGACCTCTGATCTCCAGGCAAACTTTATTTATTAACATAAAAATAAAATATCACATTTCAGCACAAATAAAATATCACCATATTTCCCCTTTTTATTCTAATAAAAAGAAAAAAGATGCAACTAATATAAGAAAAACCATATACAATAAGTACAATAACTATATACAATATATACAAGCAATAAATACCTCAACAATGTCTAGTCCATTTGCATTTGACAAACTTAGAGAAAATATTTCATTATCTATCCTATTTTGGTAAGTAATATTCCTGAATCACTTTCTATCTTATCTTGTATTACTAACAGAGAACTATCTTATAATGTCTTTCAAATTTACACACTTTACATCTCTTTAGTGAGTTTCTTTTCTGAAATTCTTAACAAGGAAAATTATAACTATCACTATCTAATCTTCAACTAACTATAACTATAACTATCTAATTTTCAACTCCCTCAGAGACCCAAGAAGGAAATAATATTACCCAATAAAACCGGAAGTGCAAACAAGTGACTTCCCCCCAAAAAATATGAGTTGACAGAAACAGCCAGCTGCCTGGACAGTCACCTGAGGTTTCTCTGCAACTTTGGGGCATCATCTTCAGCCTATGGGCTTAGCATATCTGACAGACTCATTTGTGAAGTAGGATTTACACAAGGCTGACAGTTCAACCTCACATTCAGTGACAGTGGTCCATGTGCCAGATAAACCTGAATTCCACCAGTGTCCTGTCATGATTCAGGATATTAAATTCCAGAAATTGTTGATGTTTTTGGAATTCAGCTGTCCACTATTCTTGGCTTGTGGGTGGCTTCATCTCTTTTATTAAATGCCAGTCTTCCATTGAGAGGTTAGACTCCATCAGCCTAGTTACTCTTTCAAGAATAATTGTTTCAGCTACTGTTCCACTGCATATCAGAAGCCATTGGTCCACTGCCTGTTCAGCTGCCTTTGAAGAAAGGGGCACTGTACCTTTTCCAGATTGCAAAGCCACTTCAGCGATGGTGCCATATTGTCTTGGGCTCAGAGGATGCCTGTTGCTAAAGCCACAACCACACTTGTTTTGGCAAAAATTGGTAGTCTTTTGTTTTGTGACCTCTGTCCATTTTTGTCCTGTTTGTTAGCAGTCGATTTGAGGACACTCTGCTGTCCAGTGGCTAACTTTTGCCACAATGAAAGTTAACTCCATATGCGGTTTCTTCAATGCTCATATCTTCTCTGAAGTAGATTGGAATAATATTATCTTTCTGGGGTCTTTGATGTAGTTGAAGACTAGATAGTTATAATTTTCTTAGTTATGATAAAAGATAAGTTAGATATAAAACCTTAGACTCACAACTATAAGATAGTTAGGATATATTCTTATAAGATTAGATATTGTAACTGTAATTCTTGCTCGATAATTGTTTTGTTATATGTAATTTTACTATGTGAAAGTTAAAACCTTCCTTTTTGAAAAAAAAAAAAGAAAAGGGGAAGTGCTATGGATATTGCTCTGTATGCTGTAAATGTGTTGCTCTGATTGGTTAATAAATAAAGTGCTATTTGGCTAGTAGCCAGGCAGGAAGTATAGGTGAGACAAAGAGAGAGGAGAATTCTGGGAACAGGAAGGCTGAGCCAGGAGTCGCCAGCCAGACATAGAGGAAGCAAGATGTGAAGGCAGAACTGAGAAAAGGGACCAAGCCACATGGCTAAGCATAAATAAGAATTATGGATTAGTTTAAGTGTAAGAGCTAGTCAATAGTTAGCCTGAGCTAATGGCTGAGCAGTTTAATTAATATAAGCCTCTGTGTGTTCACTTGGGTCGGAGTGGCTGTGGGAGTGGCAGGTGAGAGAGATTCGTCCTGACCGCAGGCAGGCTGGGACACAGGAAATCTTCTAGATACAGAGGGTAGTGTATCTTCAAACATTTATCAAGATTCTAATCACTAATTCAATTGTTACCAACTTAATCCTTATATTACAACTTCTCCTGACCACCTTATGGTTCCATGATTCTATTGTATTTTGAGCAATTGCAATGAAATGTATAAAACCTAATCTTGTTTTCAACAATGAAAGATGAAAAATATATTCCTACCTTGCTAAAAATGACAACCAAAGTCTTCCTATGCTCACAAGACTCTTCGCAACTTGTTTCCATCAGTATCCTCCCTGTGTTTGTATGGATAGATTCCCAATTTAAACTGGAAACAATAAGAGCAACTACATTATTAAAATAATTTAGTTATTAGCATAACCACACAAAGAATATGACTATATAAATGTAAATGTCAAAATTCTAGACTTAATAGGGTACAAGAAAATATAAGGCAATATAAATACAAAATATTATGCAAAATTTAACTATTTTACAAAAAGAAAGAAACTTTTTGAATAATTATGTAGATTTTAGTAGAAGTTTCTATCAACAAAATCAGTATATACCTTAGAAATGCCTTTTTTTTCTTTAAGATAAAAATAATGCCTTTTTATCTTTTCCCTTTTTTATTAAAAATAGATTTTTTTATCACATAATATATCCTGATTAGTTTCACCTCCCTCTACTCTTCTCAGTTCCTCTCAGTCTCTTGTCCTATCTGGATCCACTCTTTTCCAGTCTTTCAGTAATAACCAAACAGGGAATATCATATCATATCATATCATATCATATCATATCATATCATATCATATTATATCATATCATCTTATGACAAAACAAAAACTAACACATCACATAGCGTAAAGAAAACAAACAGAAGGTAAAAAGTTTAAACAAAGGCACAAGAAAGAGAGACTCAGTCTCACACAAAATCAAGAATTCCATTTAAAAAACAATAAACTGAAATTATTAACATATATGCAAAGGACCTGTTATGTAAAATCAAAGTCAGAGAAGAAAATGTATATAAATAAAATTAAAATAAAAAAATAAGATACATAAAAAAAATATAAGGAAAAGCCCTGACAGGATATTATGAGCATGGGGGAAGGAGGCTGCGTTAGATGTCCTGCTCTTTGGGGCTGGGGAAAGAGACTAGGGGTTGGATTTAGGGAACAGGAGGGGTAGTTGAAAATCTGTAGTTAGCTTACTGTTTCCCTGCCCAGAGTGGCCTGTGGATTCCAGGAAATGCCTGATAGAAATGGGGAATGGGATAAAGCAATGGATGGGGAGGGGGGACGGTGTGAAAGAAAATATTCATGTGATCCCTTCCCCTTCGAGGTGGGGTAGAGATGGAGCTGAGGCAGCAAAGGTGGTTTGCTGCAGAGCCCAGACTGGAGGAGCTGTGGGAGAGAGGAAGATCGATCTGCAGTTAACCTCCCTACTTCCCTGACCAAAGTGGACTGTGGTTCCCCAGAGGATGCTTGCTGCAGTTGGGGGTTGGTATGAAGCCATGAGTAGGGGAAGGGAGGTTGTTGTAGAGGATGATCTGTGTGATTCACAGGATTTGGGAGGATTGGGGACTGCAGCAAGTGGTCTGACACAGAGCTGGGTATCCCTTAGGGGGCCTGGATTTGAAGGAGTAAAGCCAGGGGAAGATTTGCAGTCAAATTTCTTGTTTTCCTGGACAGAACGCTTTCTTTTTTTTTATCTTGAATACCACTCATTTCCTTTATGACATAAGTGAATAGTTTTATAAACACTTTGTTTACCTAATGAAACTATTTACCTGAAAGTAAGAGAACACATTGGAGGTGCAACATTTAAAACTGTGTGCAATGATTCAAGGTGATACTGCTAATTTTTCATTTTTCTTCATAACAATGTATTGATGATATATCAACACCAATGTAATATTGACATTTGTCTAATAACATAATCTATCTATATGTCCACAAGAAAATACAACCACTTATTGTTTATTTGGAGACAAGCAAATTGATATATGTAAATATCACAGACCTATTCTGTAGATCTATTTTATAAATTTACTATTAATGACATTAGTAAGATGGGGATAAAATTTTGCAGAACATAATTCATGAGAAAAATACAATTAATATTATTTACATATTTATTTTTTATTAAATGTATTGACTTCTTGTTCTGGACAGTTTTATGCTGACCAGCATTTATTTTCTAGACATTATAGTATAATATAGAGTTTATTAAATGTAAATCTACCTGCTATCACTTTATCTGAGATGATAGATACAATTCACATGTACAGAGGATATAATGAGGAGCTGGAGAAACAGCTGAGTGGTTAAGAGCACTGACTGCTTTTCCAGAGGAACCAGGTTCAATTCCTAGCACCAACATGACAGGTCATGACTATCTGTAAATTCCAGTTCCAGGGGAACCAACAGCCATGACAAAATATCAATGCACATAAAAACAATAAAAAACAGAATATAATGAAGCAAAACCACAAAAATACCACATATAGAAAAAATACATATTTTCAGAACAAACAGGGAAGGGAAAAATGAAAGAAGAAAAATTGTGGAAGACAAGAGACAGCTACATAAGTCTCTGGAATTTCCCTTGGGAGAGGCTATTATTCTTATTGATTTGCGTTTGCAAGTTCTCTGCCCCTTCTCCCTCTGTTGGGCCATTATGTAATCCATAAATTATAAATGGAGTAGTAGTGGGCGACTCCTTAGGCTGTAAGGATAGCAGCCATTACAAAATATTAATCCACCGACTGTGCACAACATCACCTTCGTCATAAAACCCACTTCATTGTGGAACCAAGAGCCTAGATGTAAACTACCAGCTCCAAAGTTTGAAGCAAATGCAATAAGATGGTTATAATTACAGGATTCGACGCTTTTATTATTTGAAATATAAAAATTAGTTATTTGCCTAATGGGGTATACAGGATTACAGAATTTAACTCTTGAATTATTTTTTACTTCAAATTGATTTGTTTGCCTTTAAAATACTGACTTGATTCATGAATGTATAAAGCAATAAAGCAAAGGTTGTTGTTGCCCTTAAAAGTATTATATCTGACCATTTTCTGGGTGCTTTTTATAAAAATCACAAAATATCTTACGTGTGATGCCATTTTATGTTTTATTTATCCCGTGTGTATGCGAGAAACGTAAGCTTCAGACTGTAAGTGGATAGCCAAACCTGTAGTGTAAAGGCTGAATGCAGAAATGACAAAGAAGTGGCTGGTACCAATTAAAGAGAACTTAAAATTGCAACATTAGCAAAGGTAATCTGAAGTTAATGACACATCTGAATATTATGGCCCCAGGCATTTTTACTGTTTCAAAGGCCTAGACAGGCACAGGTGTATCATATATTGTATATGGAAGATATCCCCCATGCTGTGTAAGAACCAACTTATTTGTATCATTTTAAATATCTTTTTTTTCCCCTCAGAATGACAAATATCCAGAGAAGCACACAAACTGTCAGTAGTTACCACCATGAATCTCAAATTGTGATCAGACATGTCCTTTCATTAACTGAATAAGAAGCCGAAGACGGTAAGTATCTCCAGCATCCCCCATGTCATTTCCCAGGAAGGTAGTTTATTCCTCAAAGACTGGTTTACATCCAGAACTGTCATTGCATCATGTGTTTAATTTTATTATTTAGGTATAGAGTATATTTCCTTTTATTAGATATACTTGATGTTGATTGCTTAAAGGTACTATAATTTGTTTTTCTACTTTATTGATAGTGGCTGATTTAATATTTATCTATGATTTACGTTGCTTTTTAAATAAACACCAGGTGAGTATAGTATTGTTATGAACATTTTGTATATGGTTTCTTTGATAAGTATGTGTGTTTAATAGAGTATATATATATATATATATATATAACATATTATATATATATGTTTGAATGAGCGAAAGCTCTTTTTTTAAGTTTTCTTTTTTTTAATTTATTTATTTTAATGTGCATTGGCATTTTTGTCATGGGTGTTGGTTCCCCTGAAACCGGCATTACAAACAGTTGTGAGCTGCCATGTGGTTGCTGGGAATTGAACTCAGGTCCTCTGGAAGAGCAGTTTGTGCTCTTAACCTCTGAGCCATCTCTCCAACCTGAGTGAAAGTTCTTCATTTAAATTTTATATATTTGTCTTTTTTATGATTCACTATTTCTTAATTTGTCTTGTTTAAAGTTATACACAGATTTCTTAATATTTTCTCCCAACAGGTATACAAATCCATCTTTGACATTGAGATGCAAAAATTTTAGCAATAAAAATGCAATATAAGAAACTACTCCCAGAGGCTAGAATAATTAGTAAAAGAATATGGATTTCTTGAGAGTGTAGAATAAAGGATCAAGAAGAATCACTAACCCTAAAGTTTACTTGGTAACTCAAGAAAATCCTGCATGCCATCAGTTAGAGCTGACATGCAGGCCTAGTTAGATAAGGCATAGCCATAACTTAAGCAACATAATGGACTATAGATCCTGACAGAAAGTGCTGGAACCTGTGTGTCAAACACTGGAACAGCTCTTCATAGAGATGTATACCGATGATGTGCAGACTTTTCTGGATGTTTGCTCCAGGCAAAGCTGTCCATTGGGGATCAGTATAGATTTTAATAAATAGTTTCCACTGGCTTTTATGTGCTACAGGTCATGGATCACTGTGATGAGATCTGGGGAAGCATAGACTGCGAGACTCTAAAGAGAAAGTGAACACATGTAGGAAGTTAGACAATTTTTTTCCCCACAATGTCTCTCACATTTCTAACTTGGACTTAAAATGGTAACATTTAATTACCCATAGCTTTGTTTTTTCTCAGATCAAGCAAAAAGTATTGGTTTTGAACTAAAATAATTCATTAATACAATGCAGAAAGAAGCATGAAGGGAGGGAGGATGGGGAGATAGATAGATAGATAGATAGATGATTAGATAATGCCATGGATTTATTGTGTTAACTCTAGCATAAACGGTATGGAATATATTCATAGTTTGGAAGGTAAATTTCCTCTAGCCATAAGGCCTATGAGCAATATTATACTAATTTGGAAATTATCTTGTTCTGGACGTCCTGAATACCAAGCCCTTGCAGTTAGCCTATGTTAAAGTAATTGGCACTGTGTAAAATGAGAACTTGCAATGTGTCAGTGGGGGGAGCATACAAATATTAATATATAAGGCCTATTAATAACAGTCAACTCCCAATGTGTCTGACATAGAGACAAAATGCTTACCTGACAAGTTAACAACAGCAGCACTTTAAATTAGGTATGGAGTTAAAATACTACTTAAAAACAGCATTGGCTGTTAAATGTCAGTCCCTGAAATAGATAAATCTGACTACCTATAGGCAGTCTAGACTTACTCTTTTCACTCATGCTTCAGATTGAAGTTTTGTTTGCTTTTATGATGTTTACATTTCCTTCCTTCTCTTCTGTCTTTGACAGTTTACTTTCTCTTTACTTCACTGTATCAGAATGTGAGCATTGCTCAATATAACCAATGCTGGCTCACTGATTCTTTTTTAAGAGAGAAACTCCTCTTTTGAAATTCTGTATCTATGTCATCATATCTCATATCTTTGTGAAATATATAGGTCTGAGTTTTCAAATTTGGTTTCAGTCTCTAGATTTTACTCATAAATTTCTACCTAGTTACTAAGTGTGTGTGTGTGTGTGTGTGTGTGTGTGTGTGTGTGTGTGTGTGTGTGTGTGTGTTTTCATAGCTCAGGGCTGAAAGAGCCAGATTCTCCTGCTAAATGTGTTTCACTGAAACTATAATTTCTTAATAATTATACAATCAATTGCCTAGATTTCAGGATCCATATTTCCTATTCTATTCATGCCTATTTTTTTGCTTTCTGCCAGTTCCCAGTATATAGCATACTTATATTTGCAAGTTCTTAGACGTTTTGTTTATACACATTTTTAAAATTCTATACTACAGTTACCACTACTACTTAAGCAATAGAGTATGGGAAACAAAGAACTTACAGTACCTAGAATAAACTACTTCTCTTTGGAGAATCCACAATGGAATCAGTTCTAGGAGCTGAAATTCTGAAGCTCATTATTAGTAAATCCAGAAAATGATTAAAATATCATAGCACACAGAGTACTACTAACAAACCACAAGGTCATCTTTTATGATCATATGGTAAGGGTGTCTTCCTAAGGTATCATAAGATAGCTTAATTATAAGAGAAGAAAAAGGATTTAAAGAAAAATCAGCATTCCTCCATTGGCACTTCTTTTGAATGGCCAAAAGCAAATATGGAACAGAGAAAAGAGATTAAACTGCATTAAAATGAGTCACTGTTATTGTCACAGTGACTCAGTTTAATGCGGAAAGATTGAAGTACGGTTAATTATGATATGGAGTTTGACAGGAAGATGCTTAGAGGAAAACAGAAGTTCTCCCAAAAGGACAGTAAAAGCAAACATTAGAATTCTAGGACAAAACTACAGAATAAATACTGAGAATGATGTGCTGTCTCAATGGGCAAAGTCCCAAAGCTGGCCATTTGAGTTCCTTTCCTTGAGCTACATGAAGGTAGAGGAAGACACCTACCTGGCTTTACCAAAATGCCTTCTGAACTCCACACATGCACAGTGGCACAGCATGCCAACACTACACACACACACACACACACACACACACACACACACACACACACACACACACATAAATAAATAAGTATGGGATCCTAGTCTTAAAAAAAGTGACATAAATCACAGATAAATATTAAATCAGAAGTAGCAGTTTTTAAACGGTTCTCTAAAGCACCATACATGGTTTAGGGTCTATATTTTTCTTCGTCTAATTCCTGAAAACATTTGTTTGGTACCATAGTAATCCATAGAGAAAAACACTGAATAAATATGTATCTACAAGAAGCGGGAATCCCAGGAGCATAAAGAAGTTCTGGGGGTCAGGAAAAACTCAAGAATTCTGTGAATGTGCAGAATCTTTTATTTACTTCTTGTGAGCTGCCCGCAGAATGTAGCTCAGAATTATTTATCTTTCTTCCTCAGAAGTGTAAAATGAAAGAAGGACGAGCAACCTCACTGTACTCTAAAAGCATTTCAATAACAGAATTCTGTGAGGCATTCTAGAGTACCCTGTTCATTGTTCAAGTTGTTGAACATGCTAAACAGCCATTTAGAAATTTTCAAATAACTGGTCCAACACTTTCATTCATTCATTTTTGGATGGATATTAAAATAGAACTAAACCATATTTAAATGAAAATATGTGCTTTCCAATAGAATTATTAGGTTCCTTTCATTTTTTTGCTGGTAAATAAAAGCATTTTTTGGATCCTAAAATGCAGTGCTTTCATGAAAATATTGATAATAAATATATATATATATATATGTTTATATATATATATATATTAGTTGCCTAATTAAATTAAGTTTATGGAGTTCACATTATTTGCACAAGCAGTTGTATTACACTGTGAAGAGTATTAAAATACAAAATAGGTAATATCCTAGGTGTAACACTCTGCACAGGAATTCTAGCCTTCCCACTTGTCATCTGTATAATATGGAGAATTTAAGTGAAGGGAAGACAATACTTATCTCAATAGGCTGTTATGAGTGTTAATTGAGAGTAACCATTAATGGGATTAATCCATGAAGTCTATTTAATGAGCAAAGGAATTTATTTGGGAGTTAACTCACAACCATGGGTGATTTATCGAGGGTCCAGTAAAGTTGAGCTGTGTCCCATGCTGATCTGCCTGGTCCACGATCTCAGCATCCCAAACCACACAGTAGCAAAGAGAGAGAACAGTAAGATGTAGGTCTTAAGGGTCAAGGGTCGACCGGCGGCCTCGCCCCAGGGGCATGTACCTTAAAGTCATGGGCAGGTGTAACAGCAACCTGCTACCTCACTAGGGGCAGTGCTTCAGGGCATGGATCAAACAGCTACCCACTTCCAATCATTGTGATGGAGTCAGAAAAATGTCTCTCACACAGTTACTCAACAAGTAATCATTTCTATAATGGGTGTATGTATCATAGCATGTAGATGTCATAGAGAAACCAGCCCAGGGGTCGGATTTCATCATATGTTGCATCAGGATTATGTGTGGTTCTGAATGCTCAGAAATCATCAAAGGATTATACCTGGGGAATTCTTTACTACTTCCCCAAAGGTCAGGAAGCACTAGTATTCGAGGAAATATGGTCAGCTAAACAGGCAATCAACTTGCTTTAAAAAGAAAACGTTGCCAAGGGCAACGTGCATATATGTGTGTGTGTGTGTGTGTGTGTGTGTGTGTGTGTTTTAAGAATATATAAATATGTGTAGTAGCTGGAAATCCTTCTCTCTGTCCTCCACTCTCTCCTTCATCTTGCTTCCCTCCTTCTTTTAACTTCCTCTTCCTTCTCCTCCTCCTTCCTCTTTCTCTTCTAACAATATCTTACTATTCAGCTCAGTACAGCATCACAGTTATGACCCTTCTGTTCCACCCTGAAGAGTGCTAGGAATACAGCCACATGCGTGCCACCATACTCAGAAGCCCACATCTTTCCTAACATACAGGAAACCGCCGAGCAGTGTTACCATATGAAGAGATGATGCTGAATGTGGGCAGAGTTCTCATAGATGATTCATAAAGAGATTTCCAAGAAACAATATCTCTTTGATCTTTGCATTACTTACAGTGATAGAATATTAAAAATTGAAAGTACTAAGGAATATTGAGAAGAGCCACCCTCCTTTCAGCTAATGGTGAGTTGTAATTTCACCCTAGACCTACAATATGCATTGCTAGAGCACGAGGCTGGTCTTGGTTGTGTTTATTATAATTTCTGTTGACACAAGAATAAATTGGACTCTAAGGACCATGATACCATTCTGTGACTTTTTCCATTTCTGATTTTATCCCTTTGCCTTCTGTGACTGCCATCTTGGGCTCAGAATCTGGAGAGTAATAATAAACAATATAGTCTGGCCTCAAGTGGGAAAGACATGGGCTCCTCTACTTTTAAAGCTCTCCTTTTTCTATGTAAGGGCCCCTTGCTGTGGTCATGAAGAACTATGTATTTGGCTGAAATGCAGTTTCTGTATTTAGAGAAACATGGCACATTCCATTCATTTCACAATGAACGCATGATACTTGTCTATAATGTAATTAGAACAGCAAGAAAGACTCTGTTAATGGCTGAGTTCAAGAAACTAAAATTGATGGTCAAAGTGGATTAATCACTTTTTGTGGATTCTGAGTGTGCTGTTCTTAAATTTCTAGTGGAAACTATATTAAACTATTCTTGTTCTAGAGAAATGAGATGCAAAACATTTTTTTCATAATATTGTTGCACATGAGAAAGAAGCTTACTTTAAATTAGCCAAGTTTTGGTGAGACCAAAAGCCCGCACAGCTGCTCTTTTCCTATTGTTTCTTCCACACACTGAGCTCTGGTCTTCTGTTGTGGTTTTTCTCCCTTTTAAAGGCAAAAGTAAGTTCTGCTGTCAAGTTCGTTCTACTTTGTTTCTGGAAACTAAAAATACAACGTTAAGCCTCACTTAAAAGTATTCTGCACAAACATGAGTCCCAACCTTAGAAAACAAAAGAAGAAGACCTCAGTAAAAAGATTTTCCCTTTCCACCACCACCATTAACTTCTTGGGTCTTCGGGAACACCTAGATAACATGTCAAAAAAAATTTCTGCATTCAAGCAGATACTGTCAAACTAGTATTAACTGAACAAAAATGGACACCCAAGGCTATCTGTTGCATTAAAAAATAAGTCCTCAGGTTCCCATTCTTTGGTGTACCAAAAAGTAATAGTGGTGTAGTTCTCTTTTGTTTGCAAAACATTTCATTAAGTTGGAGTATAGAAGAATTGTTTGCAATTGAAAAACCCTCTACTTAAGCAACAGACATAAGAGCTATACTCACGTTTGACTTAGAAAAAAAGCTATCTATATTAACTTTTTACTAACTCATTTTTTCTAATTTATTATATGTTACTTTATAATAAAACAAAAGACATATAACAGAAAATATAAACAATATATAATTATTTATTAATATTTAATGCTTTAATTAAAATATATAAATATGGTTACTTATGAATGTACCTTCCTTCAAAAGGAATATGGATTTCTGTAATTAGGGGCATAGAACTTGATGGGTGTTTTGGAAATGTTCCCTTTCCTATTCCTCTGCAGGTATTGAAAAATGTAGAAAATATGCAGAAAACAACTATTTATGTTGAACACTAGGTAGCACAGCACTGGAATCCCTAAGGAAGGGACAGGACAGATTAGGCCTATGAAGGACTGCCTTCTGGCTCAGGGACCATTTACTGAATATAATCTGGAAAAGGGAAACCTAGCAGATTTCTGTAACTTTCCCAAGTTTGAAGAAACTGAAACTGATGTTTAAGAAGACAATACAATAATTACATTTAGAATAGGTAGAATATCTACCAGCAAAATTCTGCAAAGAGAAGTGAACTAGCAAAATTAAAGATCATTAAGACTTCAGCTAAATACTTATCAGTATATGCCCTGGATTAAACTCCCTTAAGGCAAGCAAAAATGGCTTGGAGAAATGATAGTTCCCAGGCAAACAGGGAAGTGTAAATTGGAAAGCCAGAAAGGTGAGATCAGCTAAATACATGATGTACATAGTAAAAAAAAAAAAAAAAAAAAAATTCCACACTTTATGAATGGTGTGTGTGTGTGTGTGTGTTGTGCTTTTATACCAGTTTTTTAGAGTTTGATTTGTTTTTGTTAGTTTTCTAAGGAGAGAGAGAAAAATAGTGTGAAGTTAGGTGGGTGTGGAAGTGGGGAGGATCTGGAATTGGGGATGGGAAACCATGATCAGAATGTAACATGTTTATTTTCTCAATAAAATATCATAAATTGAAATAGGGATCAAATATATCTCACCTCAGAATAATGGGTCTGTAAATGTGTTCCTGTTCTCCAAAATAATAAATAGATAAATAAATAAATAAATAAATAAGTAGACAACAACAGGCAAAAAATATTTGACACTTATCTAGACATAGATGGAATCTTTGCCATAATAAAATTTATAATTGAGAAGATACAACAAAATCCATCATTGAATAGTTTAGAATGACAAATATCATCATCCATTTTTAAATTACTTGCTATAATAAAAGTTCAAAAATATAATTCATCACCAGAAGAAAAGATTCAAAATGGACAAACTAAATAACTTTTAAAATGTTCTATGTAGCAAGAATGATGTAAAATGGCAGATATAATCTAAAAATTATATGGTACAATTCATGGACTAGAGATTAATTAAATTAGATTACTGTCAGTTTGGACCTCTTACAGTTGAAATGACTCCACACAGATGAACTTAGTAACAGAAAATCTTCAGGATAATACATAGAGGAGAAAAATACATAAAATAACTCCCCCACCTCTCTCTCTCTCTCTCTCTCTCTCTCTCTCTGTGTGTGTGTGTGTGTGTGTGTGTGTGTGTGTGTGTGTGTGTCTTCTGTGGCTATAGTACAAAAATCACATATGTAACTTCCTTCTTAGAAACAGGCAGATGGCAGACTATACATTAAATATATTTGAACAAAGTTGATAAAAACATAACCCTAGAGATCCATAAGCAGTGCCAACCACAAATAAAAAAAATAAAGAAATAAAAAGAAAATGTGCTTTGTCAGATCATAATCCATTTGTTGAAAACAAGTGATAAAACACCCCCAAAATCATACACACACACACACACACACACACACACACACACACACACACACACAGAATACATGTTAAAAATAGACATAAAATTTTCATAATACTCTCTCTTCAAACTTATGAAGCATCACAGAACAACAGAGAAAAGAGCTGTCACCTTGGAAATATAAAGGCATGAAGTTGAAAGAAAAAAATAGGTAAAAGATAGGAAAAACAAAAGCTGAAGGGTCTGGAGAGTTGGCTCAGTAGTTAAGATCAATGTCTGTTCTTCAAGAGGTCCTGAGTTCAATTCCCAGCAACCACATAGTGTCTTACAACCGTCTACAGTGGTATCTGATGCTCTTTTCTGGGATAAATGTATACAGACAGATAGAGCACTCACAGACATAAATAAACAAATCTTAAAAAAGAAGGTGAATGATCTGTTTATGGATTCAGCTACTTGAAATTGTAAAGGAGCTCAACAGAATGAAGGAAAATGATTCCAGAAGGAAACTGAGAGTTAGACAATAAGATAGGAGAGCTTGTAATGATAAATGCAGAAGTAAATATGTTACTGAGAACATATTTTAAAACAATTTTAAACAATTTAAACTGAAGTTGCTATAAAAGTCATGAATTTATATATTTATGTATATTGATGCAATCAATTATGTATACTTATACATGCACACACATACGTATATGTATATAAATACAAACATATGTGTGTGTGTGTGTGTGTGTGTGTGTGTGTGTGTGTATTTTATGATTTTGGTTGAATAGGAAGGTGGGAACAGAAATCTGGGCTGAATACTTAGAGAGTAAATTTTTAATCAAATTATACTATATGTGATTCTCAAAGAACAGATAAACACATAAAATATCAATATGCAATGGGAAAATTCTACCATGGGGAATTTCTTCAACTACACATTTTTTAAATCATAAAAACATAGTTGTTGTGGGGTAAGCTCTTTGTACACTGTGAATAAATGTCTTCGTCAAGGAGTCAAGGAGACTTCTGATTGGTTTAATAAAGAGCTGATTGGTCAATAGCTATGAAGGAGAGGATAGACAAGATTTCTAGGGAGAGAGGGGAAGAGGAGGAGGAATATAGGTCTGTGGATTATGCCAGCAAGAGACATGGAGACATGGAACGAGTTAGACACACAGGATAGGAGAGAGAAAAAAGCCCCACAGTATTAATCTACATAGATTAATACAAATATGGGTTAATTTAAGTTATAACAGCTAGTGGGACAAGCCTAAGCTAAGGCAAAGCTTTAATAATAATAATAATATTATTATTATTAATAATAATAATAACAATAATAATAATAATAAGTCCCAGTGTCATTATTTGTTACTGGTGGTCGCCGGGCTGTGGTGGCACACGCCTTTAATCCCAGCACTCAGGAGGCAGACGCAGGTGGATCTCTGTGAGTTCGAGGCCAGCCTGGGCTACCAAGTGAGTTCCAGGAAAGGCGCAAAGCTACACAGAGAAACCCTGTCTCAAAAAACAAAACAAAAAACAAACAAACAAACAAACAAAAAGAATGTGTGTCTACACAGAGAAAACATTACAATGGAAATTAAGCTCTAATTATGTTCTTGCTTTTAAAAATGGGGCTTCTGTTGCTAAAAATCATTCTTTGAAAATTTTAATAGCCTCATTAAAAGTGTGAACTAATGAGTTTCAATGTGTCATTTAGTGTACGCGTGTAATATGCTTTGAGGTTTTTGAGTCCCACATTATCACATCCTATCCTCCATCACTACTCTTCTTACAGTACTTACAAGGCTTCCTTAAACTTTCATGAATTATTTCTTGTAGCCAAGTTTTCCTGTGTCCTACCTGGCCTGCAGCAGCTTATAAAATAATCACTCAGAAGCTAAGTATTAGTAACAAACTGTTTGGTCTGTGGCTCTGGATTCTTGCTAGCTAGCTCTTTTGTCTCAAAATAACTCGTTTCTATTCATCAATGTTTTGCCTCAGGGCCATAGTGTTACCAGTCCTTTGGTATCTTGCTCCTTGGGTAGCTGGATGATGTCTACCCTGACTCTGCCTTTCTTCTTTCTGTGTCTTTACTTGCATGTCCTGCCTGGCTATAATCTGTCTTGCCATAAGCCAAAGCAGCTTCTTTATTAACCAATGGTAGCAACACATATTCACAGCATAGAGAAAGTCCATACTACAGCAATCTCTATTGATTTCCTTTGTGTTCTTTGACTCTTATTGTTACATATATACATATATATAAACATATACATGCAACAAGCTGTGTCTACTTAGTGTCATTAGAATGTATGTGTTTTCATGGTTGACTACTTTCTAGGGGTGTACTAATTAGAGAGCGCATTCCTGGAGAACACTGAATCTCCCTCTCTCTGCAGTCCTTTATTGCCTGTAGTTCTTCATCTAGGTGGTGCACCCTATCAGGCATCCCCCTCCCATATTTTCATGTTAACAGGCATAGTCATTGTTTGCATCCTGCCTAGGCTACCATGTTGTTGAGAGTTCCTGAGGGCTACTTCCCTATATAGAAGAGCAATGCTGTTACAGACACCCTTGTCTTTTGGCTCTTAAAACCTTTCTGAACCCTCTTCTCTGATGTTTCTGAGAATTAGGTGGAGGGGTGGCAATGAATATGGAACCACAGGGTGTGAGAACAAGTCAGCTGCTCTCCTCATTTTGAGCAGTTGTGTCTTTCTGTAAGTTTCTGTTGCTGAGAAAAGAAGCTTCTTTGATGAGGGATGGAAGCTACACTCTTCTGA